CTGAAACAATGCAGGGACTGATGCAAAAGTTACCAAGATGAGCCCTCTCTGGAAGGTGCCCAAAGAGAACTCATGGAGCATGATACCGTATGTGATGAAAATATAGAGGAACACCCATGGGAGACTGCACCTCATCTTTAGTAGGGTATATTCTTTGCCTGCGTGAAGATACATGTCACCAAGCAGGGTAGAAAGGAAGCAAGTCCAATAGGGGAAATGGATGTGCTTAATGGTGTAGAGTGGGTAGGGCACAACAGACCGTACATGGTTGGTCAACTCCATTTGAAACCAGGCGGCATCAGGTATGCGTCTTCTGGAAAAAAAAAGCAACTTTTGTTCTGATAACCTAGGTAGGGCTTGCGTGCAGACCTAGTACACAACCTACACCAGGGAACCTGAGAACCTGATATTCAGGCAATGGTAGGAAGGAGGACCAGGTGGCATTGGCAATGTTTTGTCCTGTTCACAGAAGGATGAGGGCCCCTACCAACCACATGTATAAGGACTTTTGTTGGCTGGTCCTGCACCAATCCAATACCAGACCACCTAGGAGCCAAAATCCAGGTAATGGTAGAATGGGGGGAAACCAGTCAGAGGGGTGAAATGCATGTGGTGGATTCCTCATGTCCCAAAACAGGTGGCATCAGGAATTTATTATCCAGTCTGAAATGGGAGGAGAGTAAACACCAATAGAACACCATTGCCCTCCTCCCTACCGAGTGGAATTAGTCACACTCAGGAGGAAACCTCCATGGTTCACTACCCCAGTGACTAGGAACTGGTAAGTGGCAAGGACTCCCATACTCCACTAGAAGAAGGTGGGGGAGTCCAAAGGAATGCAAAACCTTATGACTGTGCAGTGGGAGACCATAAAAACCCTAAAACTCATGACAGAACATGAGTTAGCACATTTTGAAATGGACCTTATTTATGAAGTAATACACCATGAAAAAACCTAAATCAGTCTTGTGGGTCATTTCATCTCATCAGTAAGCATTAAAGATCTTAAAGGTTGCATAGTGCTGATTTAAAGTTAATTATACCCTGGCAGGCACCACTTGCCACTCAGCAGGATACAGAGATATAGAAATACGCCACTATAAGAGTACGAGATATAAAAAAAAGAACGTACCCATTCAAAGTCAGTAAGGGGTATGGAGAATGGTGGTGTGAGGCAAACAATAACCATAGAAAGAACAGCCAGCCAGATGTTGCAGATAATATGTGATGAAAGCATGAGGTGCAGTTCACATTCCACATGCCAGACTGTATGATATCCTTCAATAGACAATAGATGTGATGAACCAGAGAAAGAGAGAGAGAGAAAAATGACAAATTTGGTGAGAGGATACTTGAAATATGCAGTGAGAATTCCTGTTTGATAAAGTATAAATGAAACTGATGAATTGACAGAGCCAACCGATAAAAGTAACAGAAGAGAGAAATCTCAAGTAAAAGAGGGGTTCCATGGTAATGTATACAGAGTGATGAAATTAGAGAAGTCAAAGGAATCTTTGATGGAAGTCATTCTTTGTAAGTGGAAGTATGAACTTATTTAAGAAACAGACTAATTTCTGACAATGAGCTCCTATTTTAGATACAATAGGTCTAATTGGCACACCTACTTTATATAGTTTAGGCATACTGCATAGAATACCACTATGTGATCCAACATGTCTAATCTGGTTGTATACTTGATCAGAAATGATTTTTTTTTCTTTTAATAGGAGTCTTTGAAGTTTATTGTCTCTCTCTTTTTGGGCAGGCTCTTCATCCAACACTTTAAACTTACTGAAGTCATTTAAGTATATGCCACGAGTCCATGAGAAGGAAATGATCCAATACCCAATGAACAGTCAGGAGCTCCAAGAGATTGATATGGAGAATTGATTCGACCATGGACCATCAATGAGTTATCACCCAAGAGTCCAAATACCCCTCCAACTCCATCAGAGATACATCCATAAACAGATAAAGATCCAGACAAGGAGGAGGAAGAGGAACACCAGCGAAGGTGTTGTCTCTGTTAAGCAACCAGGCAAAAATCAACCTATAGGAAAAAAAAGGAAGTTGAATGGAGGAGTCCAAAAGATCCAGCATGAGGTTCTATTGATGATGTAGAGTCCATTATAAATGTCACAAATGAGCATGGCCTAAGGAAAAAGGGGATTCCATGGAAGTTCCCAAAACAAAGTGAACCTGCCACTCAGTGACAAAAAGAGAGAATATGGCATAGGAAACTAATCTATCCATGTCCCTTAAAAAAAGAGGTGAATACTTAGCTCTGCAAAGATGTGTATTGAAAAACACCCAAATGAATGAGATACTGAATGGGTATGAGATGCAACCTCTCCAGGATGACCAACCCATACATGCCACCTCCCAAAAAAAAGAAGAGAATGACTGTAGGAGGCTTGTTGGAATGGAGCCAAATGTGAAAATAATCATATGAGACATCATTCTTCATCAGCCAAAGACTTGGAGCAAAAGAACACCATAAGGTGAGAATAGTCTCCATGATAAATTGAGGGAGGTTGAGAAACCAACTGAGACTTGATATATGAATGACCAGATGCCAATCCCCTAATTCCTTGGGAACAATGTAAAAATGGGAATAAAATCCTGAAGAGGTATGAGAAACCCATTCGATAATTTCTATAGCATTAAGTCCAACACTGTCACAGAAAGACATTGGCAAGAAACAAGATCCTCTGGAGGAGATAAAGTAATGGAAACAAAAGACAATGGAGGAGCAGAGAAAAAAAAAAGAGTAAAGCTCTCTGACAGAACCCTCAGTATTCAACAATCAGCTACAAATTGAATGCAAAAGTCCACAAACTGATCTAAATGGGTCTTACTCTCCCTGAGCCTAAAGGACAGTCACTACCACGATTGACAGTACTGTAATCTATAAACAGTGGAAGGACAGAAGAGAGAAAAAAGGAACTAAATCAAAGATGGAAAACCAGTGAGGATAAGGATAACATTGGAATAAAGCCCAAACATATGACTCTAGTAAAATCACAGTGGCAGAAGGGAGGAGCCAAACAAAGGTATCTGTAGATAAAATGGAGGCAAAAGCACTAGTAAGAAGGGCATCTTGCTCCAACAAAGTCTAGCAAATTTCAAACAAATATGAAGTGAGAAAGCCAAGGAAGATAAATAAGCCATTTTAGAGAATATTAGTGAATGAGTATCTGCCAAAAACCCCTCAGAATTAACATGGAAAAACATTGAATGGAGGAAAAATAATGTAAAAAGGGGGATAGTGAAAGACAAAAGTGGGAAGAATTAAGCTTAAGAAAGTTGAACAAAAGACAAAAGATCTGACCCTCAAGCCTGAATGAAAGACACCCGAGCTTAGGAGTCTATGAGAATGTTATGTCCAGACATATGAAGTAACAAAGGAAAGAGTACGAGGCATGCATGCATCAAAGAAAGTTGGGTAAGATTGAACAAATATGGTCTTGCATATTTGTAGAGGAATAAAAAAACATAAAAATAAGAAGCAGGGAACGAATTACATAGTGAAGGAGAAAAAGAAACAAACCTGAGAAACCCTGTCCCAAAAGTATGAAAAAGGTTTAGGTAGATTCAAGACAGCATGGGTGTAAGGTTAAGCAAAGGTAGGTGGTAAAAAAAAAACACTGGCAAAATCCCTTCTGTCAGGAATGGGAAACATAGGTGGAGGTATTTCAAGTTCAAAAGAAGGTCCAGGCCGAATGAAAGACTCCACCACCCACTGCACAAAAGTTTTCACTTCCCCAACAGAAAAAGACAGACCTGAGACCATTTTAGTTGTTAGTCTAGCATGAACAATGTCTTGTTGTCCCACCAGACAAAGTGGAAGTTACTGACACTTGTGGAATAATAATGAGGAAAGAAAAGGCCACAAAATCTGTAGGTGCAAAAAAAATGGTGGAAAACCAAAATCGATCAATACATATTTTTCCACAACAACTTGTCTTTGTAGATACTTCCAGAAAAAAATGCCGATATATGAAAATTCATGAGTGAAAAAAAACAACAACCTTTTGTTACACAAGTACAAAAGCAAGAAATTATGACTATTTACAATTCAAAAACGTCACCAATTGGGTGTACTTAAGTGTCATGTACAATTGTGCTGAATACCTGATAATGCCACGTTAACAGTGGTGAAACATTGTTTTTAAATTATAAATTTTGTCTATTTCATTTTAGCTGTTTTTGAATTTTAAATTTTGTAAAGTGTGGGATACCTTCAACATTTATATTTATAAGTGATAACTATGTTCTACAGTATAGGCAGAGTCAGCTGCACAAGGAGGATGTGTCGCACTGTTACTGGTGGAGGGTTATTGCATGCTACAATGTAGCTTTACCATATGTAAACACACGAGTTAGATAGAATCCTCAAGGTTAGTGGCAAGCGAAAATTGTGCATATAGAGGGCAGCACAAATCAACAAATGTTATTACATGAGAAGAGATAAGTTATTGTGTTGGAAGTGTACTTTCTATATGTCATTAATATTTACAACATGGAGCTGTAACTATAAGCAACTGTCAATTTGTATTCAAATGAGCATGAATTTCTTTTAGTAATTATATGTCTTAAACTATTTCTATATTCTTAATTTCTATAGTTGTCAAATGTTTAGATGTCTTTTTGGAAAAAAAAAGGGGTATAGTAGTAGTTATTTCATTATTGTTCCCATAATGATTTCTACAGTAGCATCAACCAACATGACGGACACTTATCACATTAGTCCTAGCATGATGAATTACACTGAAAGTGTGGCTGTAACAATACAATTAATCATCTGTGTTGATTCTAAAGACTGTGAAACATGAACATTCATATGTAACTTATACTTTTTGATGATCATGAAACCTTGAGTATAATTCAACTTCTTTTTACAGTTCCTAATGATCATGTTGTTTCATGTGTAACTCATATTCCATAAAATTTGGAGGTAACTAATACTTTGTTATAATGATGAAACAGGTATAACTTACCTTTTGTATAAGGAATCAGAAAGAACAGATGGATTCATAATGTGAATTCCATAGCTTTCCTTCATTGTAGTGAAAATAGACTGAAATATATATATATATACAGAAACATATAATATTCTATTTAAACTTCTTTTATAATTATGATTATCACTTGTATCATTCCATTATGCTCTTAATATTACATTTAGTCATCCTAGTTATGACATGTGCCCACAAAACTGTATTTTTATATCAAAATATATTAACCAAACTAGACTTCTTTAGAAAATTTCACAGCAACCAACAGAAAGTATGATGAAGATACAGAAGTGACAGGTCACAAGTATGTATACAATATTTGAATTTTTAATATATGTTTTATGTTTCGTGTATGTAAAAAAACCACAATGCTATCTTCAAGAACACTGAAAGACATAATCCAAATAATAGTCAATGTTTATTGTTTTTAAAATATTAAATAAATGTAATAAAAACAAAAAATCTGAACACCATGAAAAATTAAAATAAAACTAGATATAAAATTGAAACACAATAACTTGCAGTGGCAAATAAAATTTCACATTTTAAAGATGAAAATTAATTTCAAGCAGGTAATTACCTCTGAAATACTAAAAACATTTCTGTGTTGAGTTGCTCTCATACTGCAAACAACCATGTGACTTAAGTTCTGACCATAGTATATGTCAACTTATTCAGAGTTCTCCATCTACCATGTTCAACATGACTTATTTCACCTGTATCAAGATGTGTATAAGCTCTGCTTTACTGTCTTAATTTAGATTTCATATTTTAGTCATGATGGAAAACCATTTGTGGGGAAGTTGGTGAGAATGTATTTCAGAGGTAAGTACTTCTTTGAAATTCAATTTAACTCTCAAAATGTAAATTCAAAATGACAAGACTTAGCTCCGAAATATAAAAAGTTAGAACAGTCATGAGATGAAGGAAGGACCAGGAAAGAGTCATAAGGACATTCAAGGATGCTGCAGAAGATGATTCCATGGTGGTAACAGGACTGGCTCACATGGAGAAAGTCATCATAATAGAGGAAATTATAATTTAGCTGTCCAAAATGGAGCAATAATGAGAATCTGACACCTCAACTAATTGACCTTAAAAAGTACTCGACAAAGAAGGTGGAGAGAACGTTTGCACACAGTTCTTGGGTGTCCACAGCCAAATAATTTATACCCAAAACTGGAGATGAATACAATGGAAGAAAAGGGTTGTCTGATGTAGCAAAGGCATTGATCATTGAACAACCAAAAAATGGAAAGTCTACTTTATGGAGATTATGATAGAAGAAGAGTAAGAAAGTCCCTGGGACAGGCACAAAGGTGAGAATGAAGCCAAAGAAGTAGAGAAACTGTGGCAAAACAAAAGCTGCAAAAACGAATACCACTTCGACTGTTGATGTAAGCCATCAAAGTAGAACTGTGTGAACTAAAATAAAAAAGTGGTGTAGAAGGAGCAAAAACTTAAGACAGCACACTATACAGTACAAGGTTTTAATACATTAATAAGAGATATTGCTTCCTAAAAAGCTTAAGGAACCAAAAGTTGCTGATTTCCCAACATAGTAGCCCAATCTTTCAGACAGGCATCTGTAAATAGATAAAGTTCTATAGCAGACATGGAATCAATGGATAAGGTCTCATTCTTGATACCAGCCTCAAGATCAAATTATTAGGTTTGGATCTTGACATGTCAGGTCTCGATCTTAATAGTAACTATTTCATATTTTTTCTAAAGTTATAAATTTATGAATACTCTATTGTTGTGTATTCCTTTTGTCCCAGTCTTTTACATTGTTTATACAGCACTTAAACTGATTTGCATTATGTACAGCACCTTTGTATTTCCAGTTTGCATGCAACTTGTTTTTAGTTGCAGATGGTAACTTGCTTGAATGTTAAACAACTAAAATCAATAACTGCACCCACACAGCCAGCAGTAATTACTTTTCTTTCAGCAGTTTGGAGATGGGTGAGTAAACCAACAAAGAGGAAGCAAAATGCAAGCATTGTAATAATAACAGAAGTGAGGGGAACTTCTTCTGCCTTTTAAAGGCAGGTCTATTATTTATTTTAATGTGATATTACTACTAAGACCTTGTGTTTAGCCTTTGTTAAAAAACGTTGTTGTAACCTACATTTTTAATGTTGTGAATTGTTTGTTAGCTAAAGGGCTCATGACTAAAAAAAGTTATAATTTTCCTATAATGAAAACATATTTCCAACAGGTACTTACCTCCTCTCGCATTAATAGCTATTTTCGTTCAGTACTGCCCTCTATATGGAAAAAAGTTATTTACGCATGCTACAAACCTTTCATCTCCCCTCAAATGGAATTGACTGATTCCAATACATTTCTCATGCAAACCATCATGCGACAACCCTCCACTAATAAGAATGCGACATACTCTCATGATGCACATAACTCCCTCCATTCAATTCTACTGAAATATCACTTCAGGTTTGGGCAGAAGATGGAAGCACCAGTTTTCAGTGGGGAGGAAGGGTGGGAAGAAGTAAGTATGTATCAAAAATAATTTTCAGTACAGGAAAATTATAACTTCTGATAAGCGGCACATTACCTCCTCTCACATAAATAGCAAGGATCTCACATTGAATAGGTGGAGGGACTGGTGCAAGGGAAAGAAAGAAGCATCCTTCAAAAGCATCCAAAGGACACTCCTAAGATGAAACAGTCAGATTCTAAGATCTGATCTAGGGAACTGCGCCCACTTCTTTGCATATCATAGAAAGATGTTGCACATATGGGTGGAAAAACAGAGGAGCACATCCAAGTGGGAGAGAACTAAGGTCGAATAGTGATCCAAACCATACAATATTTATGAAACTCTATCCCAGAAAACATAAAAGTGGGTAAAATTAAAATAAAAGTGTCCAAGGTGTAGAGTGACTAGGGTGCGACGGACCATACAAGGCAACTAGATCCAAAACCCATGCCACTGAGAACCAACACCCACATGGGGGTAGGATGAGGATCATACTGTCGGTATGTCAACTACAATCCAAAACTGGGCCATCGGATACCATCATCCATGTGGGGGTAGGAAAGAGTATCATACTGTCTTCACCTCAAGTTGATGAGACCAGAGGGAAGCAAGAACCCCCAGACCCATGAATGGAGCATATGTTAATAAAAGAAACTGATAAATTGATCCAGGTATTGAAAATACCGACATCTGGTATTGAAAAGATGTCTGTGTAATGTAAACCAAAGTGACCGGAACTGCCCCAACCACAGCAACATCCTCAGCATTGAGGTATAGCAGAAGGGGAATAACTGTAATAATCTGCAAAGGATGGAGTAACAAGAGTATAATTGAGGGAGGAATATAGACATCTGTAATCCATGCGGGGGTAGAATGAGGGATCCCAATCAAATGGGTGAGCTGAGATTTTGATGCCTCACTCCCATTTATACTTGTTTTATATTGGAGGATATCATGTCATCTATGCCAGCAAAATACTACTGCCCTACTCTCAACTGAATGGTGTTATAATAATTTCTATATTTTGTTTGTATTTTGTATTCCATTAACCCATTCAGGAGGATGTCTCCATGGTCCACTACCCCAGCAGCTTGGAAATGAAAATTGATAAGGACTCTCAAACTCCACTAAAAGAAAAGGGAAGAAAAATGTGGTGGAAAGCCTGGAGGAACAACAACACCTGAGACAAAGAATGTGAAAGCCCATTTTTAAAAGCAGACCATACTGATTTAATCAATACAAGGCATGGCAGGGGTGGGCAGCAATCCCGTTCTGCTTTAACCCATGTAGTTAATGGGTGAGTACAGTCCAGGACAGCAAACTCATGAAGCAAACCTATTGCAATGATAAACCTACAAGTGATCTTGTGGTACACCCCATCTCCATAGTATGTGTTGCATGGCCATGGAATCATAATAGGTAAGTCAACATGGTATTACAGTGTGGATTTGAATGGTTAAAGAATACCTGGTCTGGTACCACTCACTACAGAGGAGGATCCAAACAAGGAATAATATTAAAAAGGGAAAAAAAGGCCCCTGAAAAGAATAAAGAATAATAAAAATAACTTACCCAGTCAAAGTCTCACTGAAGTCTGAAGAATGGCTACAGGGGGAAGATGATAACCCAAAAAGAAATAAACCAGGATCCTATGTAAATAGTGAGAAACAAACGTATGAGGGGTAGTCTATATGTCCGATTGAAAATTTCCTCCAAGAAACAATGAAGATGAGATGCCAATGGAAAGGAAAGGTGTTGAAGTTGATGTGAAGACACCCAGAACAAGAAACAGGAGGAAGATGATAAAGAGGAATAAGCTAATCGAATTAAAAGCCAAACCCAAGTGGTGAGGGTGGAAGGAGAAAGATCAGGAACAGAGGACGGCTGCCAAGAACTAGAGAGGTAGGAACCATGGAAGGAAGCTGTGCAGGCAATATGACAGCAAAATGCATGTACAGGACAAAGAAGTCTATCCGTATCAGGCTAAGGATAAAGGTGGGAAATGCAAGGAAGGGAAATTGGAGAAAAGGAGGATTTACCCTCACAAGACTCCAAAATTTTGGGGAGGAAAAAATGATCCAGATAAAGGAGTAGATATGTAGAATGATAAAGAGTACATGAAACATTGATGGCAAATAAATCAGACCTTCAATATCCACAGGCTAAAAGGAAAATGAAGTAAGTCTTAAGGGAAAGGTGAAACAAGCAGCACATGGACAGGGGTTCAAATGGAGAGAAAGTGAGGCAGTGAGGGACCACTTTAACATCCCAATCGAGAAGGGCAGCCTACCATGGAGGATGATGAATCTGGAAGGATTGCATGAACAGGGAAAGAGTAGGATAGGTAAACACCTTACAGTATCAGGAAAAATGAAAGGTGTGGGACAAGGCCACCTGATAACCCAAGATCGAGGAGATAGAAAATTCCTGATCGAAAAGTCAAGTGAGAAAATCTGCAATACGAGGAACAGTGGGTTGAGCAGGGGAAATCCCATCGCCCCAGACACCAATAGTGGAAAATGTTCCACTTATGTTGATAAACTTCCACGAAGGAAGAGTTAATGGAATGAGCCAGAAAAGAAGCTACCTGTCAGGACAAGCTAGATGTCCTTGCCAAGGACCAGATAAAAACCAGGTGTGAAGCTGGAGCACAGGAAGAGCTGGATGCAGCACCAGTGACCAAGGCTGATAAAGAAGGGATGGAGTCAGAAGAAGAGGTAACATAGTGATAAGTCGGAGCTGAAGAAGCCAGAGAAACCATGGCTGAGCCTGCCAGTAAGGAGCAATCACAAAGACTTGATACAGAGTGGTATGGATGATCGAAATCACCCAATCAAGAAGAAGAATGGGAGAATAGATACATAGGTATTTGTCAGTCCAGTCCTGGCTGAAAGCATCGACAGCCAGAGCAAGAGGATCAAGGACCAGAGAGCAAAACAGAGACAATTTGTGGTTGAGGGACATGCCAAAAACACTGAAGGCAAAGCCACTGGAAAACAAGCGTATCAAGAGACCACTCAGTCATATAGACTTTGTCTGGATGGGAAAACCAGTCTGTGCCAAGATTGAAAGCACCTGGAACATGATATGCAATGATATGAATTCTAGTGTGTGTGCCCAAAAAAGAAGATCCAACGTATGAATACAGAGTGACTGAGATAAGCAACCACTGTAGAATTGTTGGAATGGATCATTACTAGATGATTTCTAGACAGATGGAGAAAATGAACCAAAGCATGATGTGCAGCAAGAAGCTCCAGGATGTTGATATGATAAGACCACTCAACCAAAGACCAATACCCCCAAGCTCTCTGTTGATTGACCCATGCCCCCGATCCCTGAAGGGATGCATCCATGAAAATGAGTAAATCTGGAGGAAGAGTGACACTCCTCAACAGGTGAGTCTTGTCCAACCACCATTGCATATCATTGACCAGGGTAGGAGAAAGAGTAATAAGAGCCGTCAAAGGATCCCTCGAGAGATTCCACTGGTCATGAAGAGCCTGCATATGAGCCCAACCAAAGGAGATAAGGGCTGCTATGGAAGACCACATTCCCAAAAGCAATAGAACCTGTTGAGCTGTATAGAGGGAGCAGTAAGAGAGTGGAGAACTGAAAGCTCCATCGAACAAAGTCGAAGAGGAGAAGGTTGAGCCCAAGTGAGATGGGTGTTGAAAAAACACCAAAATGGACAAGATATTGGGTAAGTCGCAGGAATGACTCCTCAAACTTGATTAACCAGTCCACTCAAGCCGCCTTCAAGAGCAGCTGTTGAGTGTGATGGGCAGACTCGTGTTTGGAAGGAGCTAACAGTTGCCAGTCATCCATATAAGGATGAAAATGCAACCTGAGAGCATGTAAGTGATGAGTAAATGCTCTGACCACCTGACAAAAAACGTACAGGGCCAAAACAAGCCCAAAGTGCAGTACACAATAGTAATAAGCAACCCTGTGATAGGTTTGTGACTGACAAGATAGCGGGATATGCAAATAAGCATTCGTGACGTTCATCTTGGTAATCTACAAACCTGGAGAAAAAGCCCACCCAAGGGTGAGAAACTACTCCATGATGAAATGGGGCAAACTGAGAAATTGACTGAGGCAGGATAAATGTATTACAGGTCACCAGTCTCTGGTTTTCTTGAAGACAATAGACAGCCTGGAATAAAAGCCTGGAGAAAGATGATGAACAGGTTCGATCACCTGTTGAGACAGAAGGTCTTGTACTGCCTCTGACAGATGCTATTTGGTGGTAGAATCCTGAAGCATGGGGAAGGAAATAGGGTAGCTCAGACATAGGACAGGGGAAAGAAATTGTAGGACAAGATCCTCTGATAAAACCCAAAGAACCCATGGATCTGTGTTGAAAGATTGCTAAAGATGAACAAATTCGTACAATCGAGCTCCCACTGAACTGGAACCCATTGGGTAGTCACCAGTAATGTTGGTGAAGTGCCTTTCTACATCAACTAATACGAGGAGAGGAGAAACCCCTGGATGGAGGAACAGGTAAAGGCTGAGAAGGACTAGAATGGAAACAGGAATAGGAGCTTATCATGGCTCTGATTGTGCTAAACGTGCTACCAAAGAGGAAAGGGTAGAGCATTGATGAACAGACTCCGCAAGTGATTCCAAAGTCTCAGGTATGTCACTGAAAACGTACTGCCAAAGAAAATGGGCCATACATAAATCCCTAAGATAAGGGAGCAGCAAATGAACCTGGGACCAGGCCACATCTCGACCCAAAAGGTCCCAACAACAGAGAAACCACGTGTGTAAAGAGAGAGCCGAAGATGATACTCCAGCCAACGTGGAGGTAATAAGGGAAAGGCTTTCTCTTGAAATACCTTCAGGGTCTTGGAGGATCACCTCGGAAAGGAGATGGATAGTAGATAAATACTAGAGAAGGGAAATAAGGGTAGGAAAATGGCGTGAAAACTGGGCATGGATTAAATGCATAAGAAAATCAGGGATCACCCTTGAAGCCTATAGTCTAGGGATGAACAAATAATCTGAGATGACACCCAAAAGTCCAGATGCAGGAATCATCTGGAAGAGAAGAGATTAAATGAGTTGACTGAGAAGATCTAGCTCACCTAGTATGTTTGGCCACTCTGTAGGGTAGAAAGTAAATCAAGATGCTAAAACCCCAATTAGCCCCTGCTGGTATTCTTACTGTGAATGAGAAACTAGTTAGGGTGAATTCCTGCAAAGACAAAATTATGAAGAAAAGAAGCTCTTTCAAGGTGAGCTGAAATGTTTGTGGGAGACAACTATCGTGCAAATCAGCTGAATGGGCTAAGGTGTCAAAGGATGATATGAATCAGGTGGTAACAGAAATTACATCAGTGACAAATGCAGTTAAGGAAGACTGCAAGGTAGAGATCTGATCCTGACTAAATGAATAAGAATGAAAATAGCTAATAGCTTATAACTACACAGAAAAAGAAAGTTTTAAAAAGAGATAAATCATAGTTTACATGGAAGAAAACTAATTATAAGTCAGAGTAGGTGATTAGTTGGAAGACATATTTTGCTCAGAAGACATTTAAGACAAGTAGGTCTGATAAAAAATTTGACCATGAGAATATGGTGGGTGTCCCACACTTTAAGCATCCACGTGCTCATGAAACCCTCCAGGAATACTAAAAGATAATTCAGAATTAATGGCCCAGTTACACTGATCAGTAAGGACTGACAATGTACCCATCAGATCTCTCTGCACATTAGAGGCAGACCGCATGTGTACAACATCTAAAGAGGTTGCAAAAGTTCTGATATTAGTGGAAGTACTCAAATCAACAGTAAATACTGACTTTATAGTTCTTGGTGAGAAAAGCTAACAGCATGACTGTCAAGAAGAAAATCTGGATTATGGTAAGAATGCAGAGTTTATACATACACATCATCATTATGATGTAGATGCAATAAGTCATGTATAGGGTAAAATCTTAAAAAAGTTAATGCATACTTTGAATCATGTCAAAAACATTCAGAACTTTAGTTGTTGATAATAAGAGATGAACTAAACAATATTCATCTGAGAATAGAGTTAAAAAAGTACCTCATATAATGCCATTTAAGAAAAGAGAGAATTAAAAGCAATAACATTTAATGTAAATTCACATAAAAAAAGTACATTATTACACTGCAGGTAGCTCATTAAAATGCACACTAAAAAAAACTATAAGTACTCACACTAAAGGTGACATGTCTTGGTACAGAATCACTAGTGTTTGATTCATCACTATCTGTAAGAATGGAGTCTTCATCACTACTTTCATCTGTGTCAGTGTCCTCTGTACTACTTGATGTTGAAGATGTGGAAGACATTCCTGACACTGATGGATTTGGTGGTTTAGTTCTCCCTCCCGACTCTCGCCTCTTACCTGGCTGGACTCGTACAGAAAAGGGACTACTGTTGTTTGTAAATGATGGCATGAAGTCTCTAGATGAAAAGAGGATTATGAAAAGTTATATGAAACCTAATTTACAAAAATTAACATTAATATGGATCAGTTAACAAAAATAAAATTTATGCTGTACTAAATTTAGCACTCCTACTCAAATTTCAGTTTTAATTTGTTGGATTTATATAGAAAAACAATTACTGCTGTTTATAAATAATGACATGAAACTAGACAAAAATATTATTACACATATCTTCTTAAATATTTAAAATATTCATTAAGTTAAAATTCAGTTACTATCAACTAAAAGAGTATCAAAGGATTTGCCTGGAAATCAAAAGTTTAGTGACATCATGCCTATCTGCTTTAAAAATAAATGAGACAGATTGCATAACTGTTTATCTTATTTGTATCTGTTTGATATAAAAGTTATAGCACTTCAGGTCCTTCAGTAAATAAGACAAACATACTGTAAGAAATGTTTTACATCTCATATTCAGTTTTGAATAAAATTGAAATACATAAAAGTACCAATATGTGAATTAATGAACACTTTGGTCAACTGATTTTCACATCATAAATTACCTAACAGTCAAATAAATACCCTATAAGATACTAATTATTTAACATAATGTTACGACAGTGGGGGTCACGTGACGAATATTCTAGAAGATTCGCTAGTGTGTTGCGACAGCGTTGCGTCAAGTGACGCTGGTAGCACGTGTTGAGAATCTTAGAAGTTTCTAGAACAGACAGTATTGTCATATATAAGTACGCTAGACAGTGAGAGAGAGAGACGGAGTCGAAGCAGTAGTGGAGACAGAGACGAAGCAGAAGCGGAGACGAAGCTGGCAGAGAAAAAGAAAGACAGCGATTACGGTCGGTGGGAACCGAGGAAAGCAGACACAGAGATCCGAACTATAGTTGGCGGGGACGAACAATTAAGTCAAAGCGCGATAGAAAGTGAGTGAATTGTTGTGAACTATAGTGTGTGTGTGACTGTGAAAATTAAGTGCATTACAAAGTTGTATTGAGGAAGAATAAACAAGTTTTGTAAAGAAAGGACT